CTTGAGGAGTAAGAAATCCGATTCGGCGGCGCTCGCCATCATTTGCTCGCGCCGCGACATCCCTCTCTGCGCGTCCGTCCGCAATCTTCTCGCGAGCGCCGACCCGCTGGGCGAGTACGCGTTACGGAACAAGGTCATGATCGGCACACACTCGATCTCGGTCGGTCCGGCCGGTGCGCGGCGTCCGATCGCCATGACGGGGCCGAAATGGGGCCGCTCGGGTCCCGCCACCGCTGCACGCGTTGCCGGTGCGTCGGGAACCGCGGTCGCCAAGCGCGCCACCATTTCCGCATCTTCGCCGGAGCACAGGCCCGAGATCCAGACGGGGATCGAGCGCGATAGCCGCCGAGGCAAGTCCAGCAGCTGGTGGGCCAGGAACGGAGAGAGGGGGGTCGTGTCGTGTAGGCCCGAGGCAATGGTACGGCGGCTCGGGTGCAGCGTGGCGGTCAGGGACTCTTGTAGCGCGACGGTGAGTGTGTCGGGGCTGAAGCCATAGTGTGCCCTGTATATTTTAATTTGGGTATATCAGTACGGAATTGCCAGAGTGCACACGGAATACGGACAGAAACGAGGCAATACGCTCAATGCCAGCGTGCCGGCTGTGCTTATACGGCGCCTGGGTTGCGGCCAGATGCAGACCTGTAATCGATCGAAAAAATTTTAAGGACCAAGACCACGCAGACCAGGCACAATCACACACACACCAAGGTCGGGCACCATCGTCGCCAGCAGAAAATGGAGGTCGTTGAGGGTCATGTTGACGCTCTCCCTGCGGGTATCGCTGAGCTCATTGAGCCACAGACCAATCGCCTGCTCGGGAGCGTTCCGTAGCATGGTTGCTGGCGTGGGCTCGACGGCCGAGCGGACGTGGGTGGCCATTCAACGATAATTTTGTGAATATTTTGTCGCGTCTCTTCCAAGAAATCGTATTACGAGCAAAAAGAGGGTCAATTCGATCCTGCATACACCAGTCTATCAATAAAAATATGTCCTTTCGCGGAGGAGGCGGCCGTGGTCGCGGCCGGGGACGCGGCCGCGGGTCCAAGTTTGCCCACATTCCCGGCGCCTCGGCCGACTTTGCCCCGTCGTGGGCCTCTGGGCCCGCCGCTGCCGCTGCTTCCGGTGACGGCGGGTCGGTCATGTCGTCGATTGCGCGCGTGCCCGAGCTGTATCCAGTACCGTCATGACTTTATTTGCTTTTCAAATTTCACAATGAATAACAATATAGTGTACAACAGCCATTGGCCCTCAACCCGCCACTGGAGCCGACGGGCGATGAGGACGAGCTGCTGGCGATCCACCAGATGCTGCTGCAGGACATGCAGCAGTCGCCGTACTATTTGCAGCTCAAGCGCAAGGAGAAGCTGGCGATTCCCGCCGTCCCGCGCTTTTCAGACCGCGCACGCAAGCTAGCCAGCTCCACCAAGCGGCCCATGCTTGGTTCTCTGGGTCTCGGTATTGATACTTTTTTGTTTTATTTGGATGCATGATATTGACTGCCCAAACTTCAGATGCAAACTTTTTCCCTCCGGAGCTGCAACCAGTGGTGGATCCGTCGCTGCGGAGTACGGTGCAAGCTGGCCGCAAGCGTAAGCGCCGGGCCATGGCCGATGCGGCCGAGCTAGCGCTCGCAATGGGCGAGATCAGCGACGACGACGACGCAGTGGCCAAACCTCGCGGCGGGAATGCTGATGGCAGCGACGACGAGGAAGCGGATCCGATGGACCAGGACGACGACTGGGAGGACGATGAGGACGGCGACGACGACTACAATGCCGAAAAGTACTACGACGAGGATCGCGACGACGATGCTGAGGAGGGCCGTGGTGGAGGTACACCTTTCATTTTCATTTTTTTTCCGTTTTCACTGACAAGATTTGTGACCACAGGCGATGATTTCTAGTATAATATATTCTACCCTCTTTCTTCGTATGGCGTTCCTGACCGAGCCTTGTTGCGGCAGGGCAATTGGCTTCTCTAGTTGTTGAAGTTTTGGACGCGTTTTGGTGATGGACAGATGTGGCAACCTCTTTGAGCGCGTCAATTGTTTTTCTAGTTTTCTGGCCCTCTTTCCAAGGATGGCAGTGCCCGCGCTTCGGCCGGGCCTGGCAGCTGGTGCTTATTTCATTTTGGGATCAGTATGCAAAAACCACTCTTTGATTTTGCCGATCGCCCACTTTTGTCCTTCAAGCTGAAATCGTTATATGTCCGTTGAGAGCGATATGTGGGGATGGGATTTGGCCCACTCCTCGTCGCCAACCTCGCGGTGAATACGGGTTTGTTGGAAATCAAATATCACCTGCTATTCCCGTCACTGGTATGAATGACCTCACTTATCCTTTCCATATACCTGTCCTCGTGGACTTATTTTTTTGAATCTCGTTTTAGAGCAACGACCCTCGCCCCGAAGGCCGATCGGTAATGGAGCACTGGGCGACTGGGTTCTCGACTTCAAAGGATGCGTGTGCTACAGTATGGGCGGGCGAAAAAACTGGATGATGAACGCGACTCGTTTCGCAGAGACGATTGCAGGTGGAATGGACCTGTGCCTTGCGTGCTACAAGCGCATGGAGGCGTCACTCTTTACATTCGTTCTCGACGCTCGCGCGCGCAAACAAGGCGTGTCGCCCAATCCTCGGTCCCCGGCGGGTGGCCACCGATCTGGCAACAAGAATGTGACCTCAACAATGGTCTTCTCTCCCTCCAGCCCTGGGCCCCCATGCCAACGTGCTTGGACAGCCCGAGTGCCCGCACTGGCTTGCCAGCATGTGGCCTCCTCGCTCTGCCCACCTCTGCCCCTGGTCACACCATTGTTGGTGTCAAGTTCTTTTTTCGTGTTTGTGCAGCCTACAAGGTGGCCAGGAAGGATCAGCAGCTGCGCCCAAGTGTGTGCACTGTGCACACCAAGCCCAAAGTCTCGTCCCCGTCACTGTTGAGACGAACCTGACCAAAGAGACCAGCCAGTCCGTCCTCAAGCATTCAACCACCTGGTTTGGACGGCACAGCTGTCTAGAAGGCACTCGACGTGGCCGTGGTGTCTCGGTCGTGCTCTGCCAACGTCTATCGCCATATTTGGCGGGAGAGCTTAGCTATCAAGGCATGGTCCAAATCGTCATCTTGCGGACAAGCGACGCTGGGTTCCTGGTTATCATTGGCATGTACCTCCCGCCAGCCCCCGACGAGCACTCGGCAGCAGCACTGTCCTTTGCCCTGGACCATGCTCGGAATGCAATCAACTGCGGCCACCACCTCGTTGTCACTGGCGATCTCAATCCGATGCACAAAGGGAACCTTGCTGCGCTTCAGACACTGACTGGGCTCGGCTTGGTCGACATGGGCGTCGAGTTCAAGCAGCCAGACGTACCAACCCGTACATCCCGTCCTGGACACCAAGCAAACCGACTGGCCTACATCCTCGTATCACCAGCCGCGACTGATCGTGTCCTCGACTACTCGGTAAATCCTGAGACGACTGCCCAAGAGACTCTGGCGCCTGCTCTGAATGCAAACGAATGAAGACGGTGATGGCAACCGTGATGACGACGACGATGACGACGCCGGCGTTGGCGCAGCTGCCGATGCTGATCCAGCCCATGGCGAGAGTAGGCGCACCAGCGCCTACTTTACAGATCATCATGCCGTCGCCATTCGCACCAAGTGGCACGAGCTCTTTGACTGCGACCTGACCAAGCGGGTCAGCGAGGCGCTTGTGACGATCAGCCGATGTCACAGGTACAGCGTTGGGGAAACGCTGTTGTTTATGTATAATATAGTAGCACTCGCGATGAGACCAACCTCTTTGGTTCTCCGTCGCGAGTCAATTGTTTGGCAAGCATATATATTCTCTAAATCCTTCCACGGACCGCAGTACCCCTCCAGCAGTCGTTACACAAGGTGCATCAGAGGGTTCCGGGGCTGTCCAATTAAACCACAATGTTAGTAAACGAGGTGCCATTCTGCGCGCAATCAGGTCAATTCCGCGAGGATCCAGCGTAAACCAACCTCGAAACAAGCTCGATTGTACGATGCTTCGTGGAGGCCAGTCTATGACGATCCAGACGTCACGTATTTAATGTATTGGGAACTCGCGACAGGAACTTGTCTTTGGTTCACTGTCGCGAGTCAATTGTATTGATAAGTGTTGCGGCGGTGCTCAAATATCTTAGTGTTATGGGATGGGGAGGATCAAGGTGGGGATGTTTTGGGTTGGAGATCTCCAACACATCACCTCTCTTTCCTCCAAGCAAGAGGTTTTGAATTCTTTGAATATAACCGCTGGCCAGGCCAATTCCCACTACCTCCAGCTTCTTCATAAATTCTACAATAAGCATATATTTGAACAACCCGTCGCAGTTTGCACTACCTTCCCGAGCGCGGACGTCACACAGTCCTGCTCATATATTTTTTGTCAGAAACGGCGAGTACACTTAAAAAATAGCAGCACTTTGAATTCGTAGGCGTCCGATTACCAACGAGCAGGTGCGAGCTTGGGCATCTGGAGCGCTGACGCTGCCACTGTTCGTTGCGCGGATGGTAAATACCATACATTATGACACTCTTGGTGCCCACTGGCGCGGCAACCTCGTTTCGTGCGTGAGGCCCAACACGCACGAAATATGAAATTCAAATCAATCACAGGACGAACGCTCGAAACCCCGTGCAGTTGCTGAGTGGGCCGCTCGCGGGGTCGCCGAGCGACGGTCGGTCGGCCGTTCCAGCGCCAGTTGCGCTCCTTGACGCTGGTAAAAAGTTGACCATTCGGACCAAACGAGCGCGGGCGTATGGCGAAGCGTAAATCCTCTAGAGACAAATCATTCTGATTTTTTTTTTTCGGAGCATAGGGCGAGGACGCGAGGAGGAGATAATTATGAATAATGAAAGGGAGGATGGCAAATCTCGCCGAGTTCAACATTTTAAATCCCACCGCAATCAATACCACACTCGCGGCCGGCTGCAGGTCTGTCCCATGCACATATCGTACGTGCCGGTACGAGGATACAGCTCTAGTAGCTCAATCGGTCTAGAGCGCCGTGCTTATACAGAAGTACTTTGTATACAAAAGTCTATTCTAAAAATAGAAAAGTCACGCGGAGGTTGCGGGTTCGAGCCCCGCCTAGAGCACGTGTTATACTCTTTTGTCCCTGGTTCAGGGAAAGGTTTTCCGGTACTGCGTACCGAGTAGATGTTAATTTTTTGGCACAGGGAAGGGGTTTCCCTTGGATCTGGGGAGAGTGGCGCATTGTTTGGTCACATGATGGGATGCAAAGTTCCCAATTAAAAGAGCTTCCTCACATCGCCACAAGAAAGTGCTCCTCGGCCCACGACTTCGACACTTCCGGATGTCCTTGATTGCATGTAAATGAATCGTGTTGCCTTCCTTTCTTGTTGTAATTGTGAGCCGAGCCACCCTCCCCAAAAAAATGTAAAATGGATTATGGTATAAATCTGGGTCGAGCGATGTTGCATGCTGCATTTCGCGGATGCCCGTACCCTTAGGAATAAACGGGATGCACAAAATGTTCTCCTCCTCCTTCATTCGCATCAACAAAGTCAAATCAATATAAAAAATGGACCCACCAACAAATTCCCTCCCACGCGTCGACCTCTTGCCGCCGCTGGCACGCACTCGCGAGGTCCTCTTTACCGTCGATGGCGAGTACATTTTCGATGTCGCGGCAACCCCGACGACCGTTGCCGTTTCCGCGTCCAACAACCAAATCAAGCTGTACGACACGCAACTCAACCTTCTCGGCGCTCTGGTCCGTCTTCCTTTCAATTTTGTTTTGTCCTTGCGCGCGTACACGTCAACTTACTTTTTCGTATTAAAAAGAATGGCCACATAAACACGATTTCGTCGCTGCACTTTAACGCGACCGACCACAACTTGCTCTACTCGTCCTCGCAAGACGGCACCCTGTGCTGCTGGGATTTGCGCACTCCGGCCGCGCCTGCCCACATCTGGAATGGTATCCCATACTTTATAAATTTCGGCTCACGTCCATTACTAACCAAATAAACAGCCCCAAATCGCCAGTCGTTCCTGTCCATGCACACGTCTTCCGGCGCGTTCCTCATTGCCGGTGGCACCGAGCTGTCGGGCTCTGACGCGCACGTGCACTTTTACGATATGCGGTCGCCGCAACTCGCGCACTCTTTTTCCGAGTCTTTCGGTGACGATGTGACGCAGCTGGCGTTCCACCCGACCGTGCCGACGCGTCTTTTGAGCGGATCTACCGACGGCGTCGCCTGTGTCTTTGATCTCCAGGGCACTTGGGACGAGGACGACGATCTGGTGGGATCGATGCAGTCTGGCAGCAGTGTCAGCAAACTCGGGTGGTTTGGACCCGACGGCGAGTACGTGTGGATGACGACGCACGTCGAGACTGTCTCGCTTTGGACTGGCGAGGTATTGTGGCCTCCTTCTTTATGCGAGTATGGCACGACAAGGAACACTGCTCATTCTCACAAAAACATGTATTATAGGGTGACCTTCTAAAGGACTTTGGGGACGTGCGGCAGTTCTCGACCGAGGAGGTTCCCATCAACTATGCGGTTGGGTGCCAATACGACCCCACCTCGCAGCGTCTGTACATGCTGACTGGCTCCCACGAGTATCGTATTCTTTTCATTTCATGAAAAACGATATGCTGACACATAGATAACATTAGGGGCGCTCTCTCGATCCTGCACGTCACACTCAACGAGCTGCAGCTTTGCTTCTCGGCAGGTCACGCACACGGTGACGTTGTGCGGTCCGCGGTGCTCGACTTTGGGTCTGGCCACCTGATCACGGGCGGCGAGGATTCCAAACTGTCCATGTGGCGGCCGTCGCCGACCGCCGTGGCAGTGACCCCGGCCAACATTGCCGAGCCGGCCTTGCCCGCGATCACCATCCCGGCATCCAACCGCGGATTTCGGTCGCCCCGGGATGGCAAAAATGGTGGCAAAAAGACCTCGCCATATGCTAGATGAGATCTGGTCGACTTGCCCTCTTTTTTCTTCGCAAAAATTATAGTTTTTTTTTAAATATTCCAGCACTATTTTGCCTGCCTCTTCTCCGCAATCTGCAGTCCAATCGGGCTCGCGACAAAATAAATTAAAAATTCGAGACAAGTAGAGTAATGGCGCATGTGTATCCGCCGCCGTCCGCGAACCAACGACAGCGCACGCCACCTGGCTCGCAGGAGCATGATCTCTCGGCCCCCGTTACCTATCCCGAATCCGCCGCCGCCACAACAGCGCCCACGGATGCGGCACAAATACGCATCACGGCCGCGGGGCCATCGGTATGGGCCTCGACCAATCTCGGGAATGCATGGTCCATGGCTGGCGGAGACGCGGCAGCCGGACATACCTTGACCTCGCAGACGCTCTCGCCCACGCAATTGACCGCCGTGCAGCAGGTATAATGTTAATGAAAATATTATCGCAGCAGCTGATAACAACTTCATGGTTTGCTATAACAGGCATGGGAAAAGCACGCCAATGTGGGCATCAGCATGATGGACTTTGGCCTCAATGTGCTTGAAATGGATCGCCTGGAGCTGTTTGGTCTGACCTTGGCCATGGCCGCCAAGCTGCGCGTGCTCGAGCTGCTCGAAATTGAGGGCAGCCTTTTTCTCGACTTTGTCATTGCCGTGGACGCCAGTCAGTACTGCCGCAGATCCTATCCCATCTATGCATTCGTGAACCTGACGCAAAATGTAAACGAAAAACAGAATATCATCCAAATCCGTACCATTCGTTCTCGCACGCCGTTGACGTGACGTTCATGTGCTTTTTCACGCTGACCACCCTGCGAGCCGCGGAATTGCTGACGGATCTCGAGCAACTCACCATCTTCTTTGCGGCGCTGTGCCATGATCTGTGCCATCCGGGCCGCAACAACACGTTCATGATCTCGACTCGATCCGAGCTGGCCGTGCGCTACCAAAACGCATCCGTATTGGAAAACTACTCGATCGAGATTGGCCACGATATGCTGCAAGAATTGCAACTCTTGGCCAAATGGCCCGAAGCCGCTCAGTCCTACTTTTTCGAGATTTTTACCGACCTCATTCTTGCCACTGACATGTCCAAGCACTTTTCGCTCGTCAAGGAACTGGGCGAGCTCTCGCAGCAGTTGCTCAAGGAAGACCAGCTCGCGCAACTCGTCGAGGAAGAGTCGCTCATGGACATGGACGACAGCCAAAATCGCGACACGATGGCATCAGCCGACTCTCGGCAATTGGGTGTTCCGATTGCCGGCGCTGGAGGCAGGTTTCAGCTGACGCATTCGCTCCAAGAAGCGCTCGATCAGGCATCGGGGACTCCAGGTACTGTCGCGGTCGGACCGCCACGTCTGCTCACTGCCTCTCCCGCGACGGTGCCATCGACATTGCCCCCTTCACTTGATTACCCTGCTGCCCCTCCTCGCCGGCTGTCCATTTCAAAATCTGAGGCCAGTTTACACCGCAGCGACGACAACGACAACAGCATCAACGCAAGGGATGCCCGCGATATTGCACTCCCACATTCGGCCGTACAATCACAACAGTGGATGGGCGGCTCGGCTGGCTCGTTTGCTCCTTCCTTACCCACCCCGCTGGTTCGGATCCCAACACCCCCGACCTCTGATCCGTACCTGGTCGACACATGTGGCATACCTTCGACTGGCGCGCTCATCCTGCTCACGGACACGCAACGCCGATCCCTGAGCAAGATTCTTCTCCACGCTGCTGATATTTCCAACACTGTTCGCCCATGGGAAATGTGCAAGCGCTGGTCCGATTTGGTCGAGCGAGAGCATTTTGCCCAAGGCGACGCGGAGGCCGCTCTTGGTCTTGACCTCTCTTCCGCCAACATGGACCGCGTCCATTGTCAGCAAGCCAAAGTGTCGATAGGTATGTTTTTATTTTTATTTTTTTAATGATCTCTCATTTGAGAAACACTCTTGTTTATCACCACAAACCATGAACAGACTTTTCCGACATCATTATATATCCCTTCTTTGTGCTCTTGGCCGATGTACTCCCCGGTACTGAACTCTATCTTGATCAGCTGAATGTCAATCGCGCCCTGTGGGAAGAGTTGCGATCCTCACCTCACAGCTCGCCCATTGGGTCGGTCCCACCCTCCAGCTCATCGCTCACTTCGCCCGGGGACCGCCTCTCGGGCATCATTCCGACCTCCACCGTCTCGGATCCAGGAGCGACAGCAGCAACAGCTGCGAGCCTCACGTGCAACACTGGCGGTGCAGTGGACAATGCGTCCAAGTCCATGCCCAGTACGCCCGTCATTGGCGGCGGACGGCGTGTCAGCGTCGCGGCAGGGACCATTGTCATCCCTGAGCGCTACTATGCTGCGGCGGCCGCGGCTGCGGCCTCGGGTTCCCCTGTCTCCGTGCGGACAGGCACGCCAGTTGTACCGGCGATTCCCAGCAGCTACGGCCACATGAATTTCGGGAGCGACTCGAGCTCCCTGGCTGGCTCGCCGGCCATGAGCACCCCGCCCACTGCCACGACCTCCTCGTCGCTGTGGTCGCCACGGCGAACCACGCGTTCGCCCCTCGATTTCCCGCGCCCCGAGCCGTACAGTAGCGACTCGCAAGGACTGGATTACAGCAGTTCCAGCTCGCTTCTCCCAATCACTTCCATCCAGTTCCCGTCCGCAGACCCAAGCCACATGGACATTGTCGACCCCACCGCCGACCCGTCGATGGGAGGTGCGCAAACGGCGCCAGACCCGGAATTCAATCTGCTGTATATTGAGTACTTGACGCGCGCTCAGTCGCGGCGGCGCACCACGTCGGCCGGCGCATCGCTCGCGTCGTCGGGAACCGCATCGCGGTCCGTGTCGCCCGTCCCGACCCCGGCCGCCGACCCGACCGCGTACCGGCGCTACTCGATCGAAGCGTCCGAGCGGCAACGGCGCCGCCGCAAATCCGCCGTCCACTTGCGCGGACTGACGGGGTCGCCCGCTGGGTCCGGGTTTCTGTCCTTTGCCGGTAGCGGCGGTGGTTCTGGCTCGTCCAGCGCGGCGATCCCGGGCCACTTATCTGTTGATGCGTCGCCCGTGCCCGGTCCCATACGCTTGGCGCCCGGAAACGGAAGCCCGATCTTTTACGCGCGCCACCACTCGCA